GATAGACATTCTCTTAGTGCAATCACAGGTCCCTAGAGTTGCCATGCATCAGTGGTGGGCCGCCTGAGTGGGACGTTGGCTAGAACCCAGGTTCTGCTTGATCTTGTGCTCTAACTCACCCCCTTTCTGGAACAGACCCGGGCTGGTGCTTGTGCAGTTCTCATCTAAGATTGTCAGTGCTTTCGTGGAAATACTATGCTGATAGACATTCTCTTAGTGCAATCACAGGTCCCTAGAGTTGCCATGCATCAGTGGTGGGCCGCCTGAGTGGGACGTTGGCTAGAACCCAGGTTCTGCTTGATCTTGTGCTCTAACTCACCCCCTTTCTGGAACAGACCCGGGCTGGTGCTTGTGCAGTTCTCATCTAAGATTGTCAGTGCTTTCGTGGAAATACTATGCTGCTCCCGTTCGGGCAAAAGTCTTTTTCCAAAAAACTTTTGTGCAAAAGGGCCAGTGTAGACAGAAGAGATTTGTTTTCCACTAAAAAGCCCTGATTGCGAAAATGGCCATCGGAGCTTTTTTGCAGCAAAGCGCGTATAGATTGGCCACGGATGCTTTTCCGCAAATCTAGACGCGCTTTGCCGCAAATGGTTTTAACAGAAAACTTTTCCGTTAAAAGCATTTCTGGAAAATCATGCCAGTCTAGACGTAGCCCAGGTGTATTTGTGGATGGGTACAAAACCTACCACAGACTTGTTGTTACAGGAGCCGCGAGCATTCAATACAATCCATCTTGGGAAAGGGGAACCCATGGCCAGGGCTCTGGGGCCATGCCTAGCTCCCCAAGCCAGCGAGACTCTCCTCTCCCTCAGCCAGCCAAAAACTAACTCACACCCCGAGCCACTGATCACACCCTTGTAGGCAGCCCCTCCTAAACTCTTTTGTCCTGCTTCAGGGGCAGAGTGTCCGCATGGCTCAGGTTTCAGGATTTGATGGACCATTCCCCACGTCCCTGACCTCAGGAGTTCGCACCCAGAGATCCCATCCCATCCCTGCTGGGCACTGTGTGTGCACTCACACACATGCGCGCACACACACACACAGAGAGGCAGCAAAGGACAGTAGGAATCACATACAGCACAACAAATAAACAGTGAATGCAGAAACAGAGTGAACACTGTGGACAAAATCCCTACTACGGCGCACCAGGACAATGGGATGTGCCTGTAACCAGACTGATTTCCATGATTCAGGAAGAGAGGCCTGAGAGCAGGAACAGTGACCACAGAGAGGAAGCGAGCGCCATCTAGAGCCAATCTGGAAGAGCTCTGTGGCCCTTCCAGGACAATCTAGATGCACACAGACCCCGCCAGCTCCCTCTCAGTTCTTATCAACTCATTCCACTGGAGGCTGTTCCAGCTGTGATCAACCCAGACCCACATGGACACATGTGGCTTGCTTTGAGATCAATGTAAATCCCTGTGTCCATTCTAGATAGATCTAGAGCCCCATACTTCTATTGGAGTCCCGTCTCCCCACCTTTCCAGTTCTGGGCCCACCTGCCACTTGGATGCTGCAGGTCGCTCCAGTAGGGGTCACTGGCCTGACCCACGGGCAGAAGGGGGATTGATTGGGGCCTTCCACATGGCTGGACAAGGGATGCTCCTGGCTCTGTGTGATCCATCCCCTGTCAGGAGATGACACCTCCCACAATGGCCAGGGACCAAATTGACAGGGGATGGGGCTGAGACACTTTGAGGGCTGACTGGACACCTTTGGATAGGGTAGAGATGCTTTGGGTGTAACGCACACAAGGTCTGAGGTAGGTGGCTGGTATCAGGGAGATCAGGTAGCCTAGAGATGCCCTAGGGCAGGTGTGGACAAGTCCTTTGGCCTGAGGGTCGCATGCAGGACCTGACACTGAATGGCGGGCTTGAACGGGGATTTTACCACTGTGAGAGAGGGGATGTGTATGGGCCACAGTTTGGGGAGGGGCTTTAAGAGGGAGGTTACTTAGGTGGGGGTAGGAGGGTTTGTGGGATGTGGCGGGCTGATACCAGACCTCCCTGCTTTGTGCCATCTGGCACCCCAGGCTACTACAGCCACATGGCTCATCCGGACCTGCCACCGCGCTACCCACAGCATCAGGGTGGGGTAGCTGAGAAGCACACGGCCCCGGTGCTGGGGAAGCTGAAGCTGTGGGGAAAGAGGACAGATGGCAAGGGTCTGGGGACCATCCCTAGGTGGGAGGTCAGGGATTGAAGAGAAGTGTCTGATATGGCCCGTGAGCCGAACTTTGCTCCCTCTGCCCTAGAGGGAAAAGGCTCCATGTCTCCTACTGCCAGCAAGTGGGTCTGGCCTCTGGAGTGAGCAGAGGGGCAGGAATTGGCCCTCCTGGCCCCCCTGAAATCTCGGGGCTGAGGGATGTCGCTGCAGACTGGCCCTGGTGTGTTTCTGACCCTGGCGGTTGAGGGGAGAGGGCAGCGTTAGCCACATCCTCAGGCAGGGCCATGCAGTGGGCGGCCGTGTTAGCCACATCCTCAGGCAGATGGATGGGCAGGGACCCCCTTGGCCGTGACGCCAGGCCAGAGACCGGAGCAGAGAGGAAACCTTCAGCTAGGTGGGCGCGGCCACGACCTGAGAATTGCCCAATGGGCACCTTGGCCCGTGACCCATCTCCAGTGGGCGTTCCCAGGCAGGAGTGTATGTGGGGGCCTGTGATTGGCTGGGCCTTCCCTCGCTGTGCCCCTGCCTGGTCCATATAAGACTCAGGCTAGAGGGAACGGCTCCGTGCCTGGCCCGGGATGGCTCTGATGATGCAGCGCTTGGTGGTGGGGCTGCTCCCATGGGCCTTCCTCCTGCCCCCTGGGGGATGGGCTGGTGAGTGGGGGAAGGGTGCTGGGTGTGTGCAGATTGGGGCCATGCAGGGTGTGGGACTGTGGGGTGAGTGAGGGTCTTCCCCTGACCTGCCTGGGGCCAAGGGGCTCTTGGGGCCCCTGCAGCTTCCCCTGAGTACCTCTGGGGTTCTCAGCCTATGGTGGTGGGGACATCAGCCCTCAGAGGGCTTCTGTGGGACCCCACTGCCAAGCTGTATCCCCTACCTGGAGATGCTAGGAGCTGGCGGCAGGGTGGCTGGGGAGACGCAAGGAGCAGATGGTGGAGTGGGGCTGCAAGAGCAAGGAGCTAAGGGGAAGGGCTCAGACCTAAGAAACTTGGGATCCTTTCCCAGCCCAGCCCTGGATCTCTGGGGAGAACTTCAACCTGTCCAGGGGGCTCTTATTTCCATGGGTGGCTGATGGAAATCAGGGATCTAACCTGCTTAGGAACATGCTCCCGGGGCCTCCGAATCCTCTTTTAAGAACAAAAATGATTCTCTGTCTGTTTGGACCGGACCCTGCTCAGGGAAGGTGTTGGGGGTCTGCACAGTAAGAACTCCCTGACCTGGGTCTAGGTCCCACAATAAAGCCAATCGCTGCCATTCCTTAAAGGGGAGATTTTCCTACACTCCCGCCTGGCCCCTTCTCCCGTGCAGATCCCAGAAGGTTGGTCGTTTTCCCTAGGGACTTTGTCGTTATGCCCGTTCAATCCCCAAACTAGTTTTTTCAGCCTAAGAAATCGTCCCTTGGATATTTCCTAGCAGTGACGGGAAAGAATCAGGTTGCACAAGCCGAAAAAAAAACATCCAAGCTGGAGGTCAGCAAAGGCTTCCTGGGGTAGGATTCATACAGTCAAAGCCAATTCCCCTGGCACCGGTACTTTGGTGAGTCGGGCGTTAGGGAGGAATGTGGATTTATCTAAACTTTCCCCTACTGATAGACCATGAAGGGTCTATTCTTGGAGGGGGACATTCTGTCTGTCCCCCCTCAGTAGCTGGAGAGAAACTGCCCAGGAACAAGGGAGGGAAACGCCCAAAATTCCTTTGTCCCAGTTTGACATTCCTGCCTACATTCCTATTGGCTGAAAGTACCTGGCTTAAGTATAGTTAACCCCTTAGTTCCCAGGCTGCTGATGCCCTCAGGATGACAGGTGTGGAGCAGCCCAGCATGTTCCCTTTGGGCATGTGCAGAAGCAGCAGCCACAGAAGCCCTGTCCGTGCCCAGCTGGGGACTGGCCGGACCAGCCTGGGGTGACGTGGGCCCGCAGAGCTGTGAATGGGAGGCAGGGCGATAGTGGTCCACTCTTGGGGTGGCTGGTACTACACAGAGCAATTACTGGCCCACGTCCAGTGCTTTTGGCACCAATTCTCCACCCAACCTCTTCAGAACAGTTGATTGACCCTCCAGCCCCGTGGGCGGGGGGCAGCGTGAGGCAGACCAGAGCAGGGGGCAGGGATCAGGCACTGGGATGCCCCAGGGAGAGCATCAGGGGGGTGGAAGGAGGCTGTGGGAGCCCCCCTTTGGGAAGGGGGGATTAGTCCCTGTCCAGGGAGTTGAAGGAGCCCTTTGTATGGCCCTGGTCTCCCCCCAGGTGAGATCATCGGGGGCAAGGAAGCCCAGCCCCACTCCAGGCCCTACATGGCCTATCTGTATATACAACATGGAGACAAATACAAGTACTGTGGTGGGTTCCTGGTGGCGGAGAACTTTGTGCTGACGGCCGCTCACTGCCAGGGAGAGTAAGTGCCTCTGGGATGGGAAGTGGGGGC